CGGGAATAGAACCAGTACATGTTCTCAGCGTACGTCTGAATAGCGGCAGCCAGTTCTCACACCAAAAGAAGCTTGTGATCCACCTTCCTCGTCGTTAGCGAATCATTACGAAGATGTCGAAAGGCACCTCGAACTTCCCCCGCCACCATTCCCCGCCAGGAGCGTCATGGAAAGCGGTTTCCCCTTTGAAGAAGGGCACGGTAGAGACGCAGCCTCCATTGTCGCCTGCATACATCCACAGACAGTTCCACCGCGCAGAATACGCGCCTGTATTTTATACGCATATATGTATGTATGTTTTCTTTGGAGGAAGTGGAGAGTCCAACAGCACGCCGCAACTCCCCTCCACGTCAAGGCGGATCACGCAGCAGGGAAACCAGCTCACATAGAAGAAGTAAAGAAAATGCCCCACCTCAAAACCCCAAACAAAAAGAAAGAAAAAGGAAGGACAATACACGCACACAAATATACATGCGCATATTAGAGTGGCCAACCGTTCCACACCAAAAGCAAAGACGAAGCCCCACCTCGTCCTATAAAACACCCCTTCCCCTAAAGACGCTCATAGACTACATTGCAGAAAAATTAACAACAAAAAAAAAATGGTTATCCGTGCCTGGATGAGGCCGCGTTAAATATTCAAAGAAATATCAAAAAAAAAAACGATGGAAGGTGACAGTTTGGCTTACTGCACCGCCCGGCATCCCCCCACACTTGAGAGAGGGCGGATCCAACACCCATACACAAGTCAAAAACCAAAAAAGAAAAAAACCGCAACAAATCAACACGCGCTCTCTTACAAAAATAATAATCCAACAATCGTTAAAAGAACAGCGCAGTTAACTAAGACAATTTATCATCTTCTGATCCTCATCGTGACGCACATTCTTCCTACGTTTTTCAAAGTAAAAGAAACTGTAAAAAATAATAACAATAAATTTTCCCCATTGTAATGGCACAGTTTTAACAAATTAATATTCAATTTCACAACGACACGTTTCTCCCTTTCCTTCCTTTTTTTTCCACAGCCGTGTCGCCGCCAGTGTGAATGGGGAAAAGAAAATATGCTGGTGGGAAAAGGGGCACACCGCCTACACGCGCGCAGCCTTAAACTGAGAGGGAGAAACAAACAAACAAAAATAAAGAATGGCGAAGCCAAATAATTTCTTTTGATCCGCTCTTTCCGCATGATGCTTCCTTTCTCCCACAGAAACTGCATTACCCACACCTCTTCTTTTTTAATTTAAAAATCGCGGGCAAACAGGCAGGAACTGCAAGAGACACGTGAATACACATGCAAGGCGGCAAAGAGGCGTAAGTAATAATTAATGAAAAAATAATAATTAAGCCACATCTCCGTCATCGTACACGGTGCTTCCTTGGTTCTTTATCACCGTGGGGACCTCAAAGCTTTCGTATCCAGGTGGAACAGTCATGAGCACCTCATCACCCAACGTTGCATCCAGCATCAGGCCGTTATTATTGTGGATTCGATCATTCCTGTCAATTGCATACAAGGGATTGTCGTTCATCTCCCGCAATACCATGTGCACCACCCACTTCGACTCATCAACACCGCGGCAACGGTAGAAGCAGACGGTGATTAGCGCAGCGGCAGCAATAACCGGCAGCAATACTGCAAGCAAGACAACATACCAATTCTTCTGCAGCCACGGGACCACTACAGCCGGTGGAAGTGTCGTAGTGCTGACGACGTACCCTTTTTGAGCCTCACAGACAACGCCAAATGAACGGTAAGGCGTGTCGATGTGGGTTTTGGGCGCAGGGTACCAATCATACCACGTTGCTTTCTCACTGTTATCCATCATATCCAGACGAAGGATTAAGAACGTCTTGCCGTGATGAGGGTAATGGTAGGGCCAATAAGCCTTGTACCCGTTCATTGGTCCCGCGTCAACAAGCGTATACAGTGTGCCCCTGAAAAAAGCAACACCAAGACCATCAGCCGAGGAGTCGGCAAACGCACCTTGATTCCACTTGAAGATGCAGTTTAACGTTGCCCACTTCAAACCTCGTCCACACCTTTTTTTGAGATCTGTTGTTGAAGTCGCTGCGTGGTCGGCGTCTCCACCCAGGTACGCATGGCTTGTTTTGTATTTACGGACTGCGGTCTTTCTCAACTCATCCGCGATGGCCGCATGTGCAGCAGGTGTTTGATCCGCAGAAAGGACGCCTCCACCCAAATGACAGACGTCATCAGAGCTAAAATAGCTCACGTCACCGGCATAATTGTCAAAAAAAATCGGATTGGAGTAGTGGAAATACCTCACAATTTCAATAACCACGTGTCCTTCCTCCTCCTTCCCTGCAGCGGTAAAGGAGGGATGGCTGCCCAGGTACTGCATCAGGAGGAACAGCACCATCCACCGGACTGCGTTCCTTGTTGCGGAGCGCGTTCGCATGCACATTAACTCAACTTCCATAATATTACCCGTCGTGTGGGAGAGCGTGTGAGTCCTCTATTTTCGCGTGGCGGAGACAAAATGAAGGGAGAGACGCCAAAACGGTGCAAAAAGAATGCTCTAGCGGTACAGGAACACTCTGTCAAACGATAAAACGTCTTGAGAGAGTCGGGCAGAATGACACGCAAGAAAAAATCCCTGTGGCCTTGTGAAAGGGGATGGCCCCGGCCCTCAAAGATTCACATATGCATACGAGGGGTAATTACCGTGCACGCAAAAAAGAACGGAATAATTCAATTCCCCCAACAACAACAAAAAGGGATCCCCATGAGTCCAACACACGGGCCCACAGTGGCCAGCACCGTCCGCACCGATAACCCATCGTAACAGCGCATGTGCAAAAGGAAAAAAGCGCAGCACGACCCCGCACACGGAATAACTTGAGCAAAAACAAAGGTGCGAGCGCATCGAACACCGACAATATAAATGAATAAATGAATAAAAAAAGGAATATCCACCTGGACTGCTGGCCGTATCCTAAAGTTATCATTAGAAATCAAACAAAACGGAAAGAAGAGAGGTGAATGGAAAAACTGTGGATCCGTCAAATCATAAAATTTTCCACCATATATGTAAATATATATATATTCGGAAAGCCGCTCACGTGGCCTTTGCACTCAGTGAGTGTATGAAATATTATTTCTTACGACGTGGCAGACTTTGGGCTCCTCCAACCACAAGACCCCGCCGCGAGGTGGGGATCAACAGGTGGTGGGTGGGTGGCAAAATAAAAATAAATTATCTTGCCTCTGTCTGCTCCCGGATGCCCTTAAAGTCTTTTTTTGCCAAAAATTCATACTGTAGAAAAGCGTCGTACAGAAGAGCATTACTTCTATCAGGATATATGTGCATACATATTATCCATTAAATAAGGCGGCCAGCTCTCCCGCGATCATTCTCCTCACAAGCTCCCAGAAAATGTCTGGGACTGGGAGGGAACAAAAATTTTATTTTATTTTTTCCCACAAGAAATCAAAAAACATCAAAGTAAAAAAGCACCAAAGAAAAAACAATTCGCACAACATTTAAGTAAAAAAGCAAACATGTCAATAAAAAGTAAATAAAAAATAAAAGAAAGAAATTCGAAAAAACAACAAATTGGATACGGAAGGAGAAGAAAGGAAGGAAGTGACATGTACTGCAAGCAGAGTAAATAAGGGAAAGCCAACGCGTCTGCAAGAAAAAAAAGGGGGGAGGGAGAGGGGAGGGAGAGAAAGATATAAATATTCACATATGTGTGTCTGCAGTAAAGTGACATCTACATATGTGTGTTACATGCATGCTCCACTGATTATGGCAGCTCTGCATGAAAATTTTACTTCTCCCTCCCTCCCTCCCTCTCTTCACATGCGCGCAGCAAAAAAAACACGTTACTTCTGTTCAGTCACAGACGACATCAATACTTTACATATAAACAAAAACATCAATAAAAGAGGGCGAAACAAAAGAGAGGAAAAAAATAAAAAACGAAATAAAAATAAAAATAAAAAATAAATAATAAAAATAAAAATAAAAATAAAAATAAAAAAATAAAAAAAAAAAAAATAAAAATAAAAATAAACAAGAATGCAAGTAATATACGTAGGCAAATATCAATATCAATATGAAAGTTTGAGTTTGTCCCCCCCCCACCATAAATCCATCGGTCCACGAATACACGAATACATGAATACATGAATACATGAATACATGAATACATGAGTCCATGAATACATGAATACACGAATACATGAATACACGAATACATGAGTACATGAATACATGAATACATGAATACATGAGTCCATGAATACATGAATACATGAATACATGAATACATGAATACATGAATACATGAATACATGAGTCCACGAATACATGAATACATGAATACATGAATACATGAATACATGAATACATGAATACATGAGTCCATGAATACATGAATACATGAATACATGAGTCCATGAATACATGAGTCCATGAATACATGAATACATGAATACATGAGTCCATGAATACATGAATACATGAGTCCATGAGTCCATGAATACATGAATACATGAATACATGAATACATGAATACATGAGTCCATGAATACATGAGTCCATGAATACATGAATACATGAGTCCATGAGTCCATGAATACATGAATACATGAATACATGAATACATGAATACATGAATACATGAATACATGAATACATGAATACATGAATACATGAGTCCATGAATACATGAGTCCATGAGTCCATGAGTCCATGAATACATGAGTCCATGAATACATGAATACATGAATACATGAATACATGAATACATGAATACATGAATACATGAATACATGAATACATGAATACATGAATACATGAATACATGAATACATGAATACATGAATACATGAATACATGAATACATGAATACATGAATACATGAATAC